CACACACACACACACACATATTTAGAGAATACCTCTATATAAAATACTTTTTAATTCATTTTAATAAATTTAACAGAATGGTGCTTCAAATACAATCGTGCTTCACTGCATAATGAAAAAGTATTAAAAAAGAAGATTGAAGCTTATATGCAAAATTATGACCAAAAAATTGCTGAGAAGATAGCAAAAGAAAAAGCAATGGAAGAAGAAGCAGAGAATGATGGTTGGGTAACTATTACAGGACGAAAAAAAAGAGGACAATTTGCACTTTCCAGAAAAGAATCCACAATTAACAAAGTGCAATACAAAGAAGAACAAAAAAATAAAAAAAAACAATTGCTTAACTTTTATACTTTCCAAATTCGTGAGAGTAAAAAACAAAGTAAGTTTTACATTATATGAGCTTCAATGTTTATGTATAATTTCCATATTTCATTAAATTTTTTTCTACAGATTTGGCGGAATTACGAAAAAAATTTGAATTAGACAAAAAAAGATTACAAGATCTAAAATCTAAGAGGACATTCAAACCATTTTAATATTTAAATTAATCATGTTTATATGAAATAGATATTTATTATGTTGTAAAAAATTTACACTTACAGGTATGATTTTCTATGTATTATTATATTTAAATTTACATACAATTCCACAAAACAAAAGTAATTATAATAGAAATTCAATAATATAATTAAGCAGCTTTAGATGCATAAGTTTGTAAAGTCCATTCAATTAAAAAATGCTGATAGGATAAAGGTTGTAACAAAGCTAATAACTCCTCTGTAAAAAAAAGAAGATACAAATTAACTTTTAATAAATTAATTTTATATTAAAAAATTATGATATGTACGTTTGTTTCCATAAATACAGTTTGCAGACATGGCTGCACTAACAGCTTGCGCAAGTCGTTCCATAGTTAGATCACGTGAAATAGAATTAATGTTTGTTTGAGACTGTAAAGTAGCAGTTAAAGTTCGAATGGTGGCAGCGAAATGTTGCGCGGATATAGCATGTTTATTATTTCCATTGTTTTTTAATCGCAATACCGAATCCATTAGCAAGTGTTGAATTTTAGAATATAATTTTTTTCGTTCTTCAGAGTAGTCTGTATTTTCTATGTCAATTGAACGGACAGGAGACAAAATACACCACCTAAAACATGTTTACAATTATATTTATATCATAATGCTTTATTTTATGCAAGAAGTTTTTTTTTAAGTTACCTGAATAAACCTGCTATTGGTGTTATTGGTGTCATTGGAATGCCACCAGTTGGTAAAGCAGGATTGTCTATTAAAGGAGTCAATAAGAGACTTGGGTTTTCATCTATCCATTCTCCTACCAATCTGAGCAGTTCTGTAGGAGGATCTTTATCTTCATAAATCTCACCTATTGCCGTTAGTAAATTGGCAGTGAAATGTGGTGCAAGAACAGGAAGCTGCTTCAATTTGTCAATAGATTTTGGAGTAAGGACAAAATAGTCATTAAGTACGTGCCTTGCTAATCCTACACTCTGCGGTGAAGTAGAGCCTAGTTGTTGCATCCAAATTCCAGTCGCATTTAAAACTGCTTTGTTTTGAGTAGCAATAGCTAGAGATACTAAATTGCCCAAGATTTTATATCTAGGACTATCTGCAGGGAAAAGGGATAAAAATACTGCGTTGCGTACTGCGGCACTTCCACCAGGGCTTTGAAAAAAATCGCTTAGGACTTCTATTAATTGCAACTCTTGTATCGCTATCGTTAGGTTGCGTTTTTTTCGCTTTTCTATTTCTCCAAATACAAATTCTGATATTAAATCTAGTTGTAAATCCATTTGTTTTCCAGGTCTACCGCATAATATTTCTTTAAAGATAGTAACAAAATTAAAACATTCAATAATATAAAGCTAACCTAACTTAATCTAACCTATGTTAATCAATGTCTTACCAATTCTGCATAATGCCTCTCTAGCGCAATAAGGAAAATCTAATTTTCGCAAATTTTGTTTTATATCATTCCCTGCCATTGATGCATATATACGTTTACAATATTTAAAAACATTCAAACTAAACTATTCAATTTTTGTATGATTCAACAAATGTTTTATATCAAAACATTGAATATGTTTCATAAAGTTATAATTCCGCATTTTCATGAACGTGATATGTTTTTGGTAACTAACGAAGAAGAATATATGTATATTAATTAATATTTTGTTACTAAGTACACATTTTGAGTTCGTACTAGCGAATGTTTAATAATCATGTTGAGTTATTTCGTTTTAAACGCGCGAAAAAGCAAACTTATTCATACAATTATATACAACAGACATCTGCGTCCTTCATTTAATTATGATGAACAATTAATCAAAAGTATACTCTGTATACTTTTTATATATTCAATTGTGAACAATATAATTCAACTATAATTAATGTACGCCGAATCGAACATTCGAGTCGAATATCGAATTTTTGAAACCGAACGATATGCATATACATTATTTGAAACAATGTTATACGATAATTTTTGTACATTATAATCTTTTGTTTTAAAACATATAGAATACAAAAGTACTGATTTTTTATTGAAAGAAAAATCTGGAAAAATTATGAAATAACGAACATCAAATTTATATTTATAATTATTTACGAAAAGTTGAAATATATTTGAAGCGTGTTACTTAAAATTACTTAAATTTATATGTATTATATTATAATTTATTGAAATTTTATATTTTATATTTATATATATATATTTTAATAAAGTATATTTTAATAAAGTATATTTTTTCCACTATTAAAATGAAATTTAGATCTCTCGCTTCACGTGTATCGCAATGGGATCGGACATTCAATGCGTAGCGCCATCTTTGAGTAGGTTGCGAACTACATTGTTAGTCAAAACAATCGCCGAATTCAGGATCTATTTTTAGGCGGCACACGCTTCAGCTACGGTACTTCGCTAATTTTCGTGTGCATCGAAAAAAAAGGATAGACCGCTCTAGTGTTTCGTATAATTGTCTATCGATTTCGAAAAGGTTCAACGACCTCACGGTAATTGTGACAAGAGACCGACCGGCCATGTTTATATCGTAGTGAATTTTGAGCCAGCGGCCCGTAATCTACAGAGTAATTTTCCACGTGTACTTGCTCGATACTCGTGTCGTTTACCGTACATCCAGCACGGTGTCTAAGACTTTTGCGAAATGGAGTCTAACGAAAGGGGTGAGTAAATCTGCATAGAAATAAAATCACGACAATATTGAGCCTCTGACACAAATCGCGACCTGGGGGCAATGGCAGTGTCAGGGTCGAAACGGAACTAGTTCAGTGACCGCATTCGCGACATTTGACCGCGATATTACCAGAGAATTTCTTTTCGAACTTATCCTCCATTCGTCTCGAACCCTCTACGAATGTGGCATTTCTCTTTGGGCTAATGTTCCTGTGAAAATTCCTTTCGAGATCAAATCTATGTCACACATCTTGCTTTTGATCTTGACTGTACACTTTCTTGGTTTAATCCTTACGCGTGTCTTATTTACACGCAATGAACACAGAAATGACATATAGGAAAGAAACATTTTGTATCCCAGTGTGACATTGTTATTTCTTTCAGTTGTCGATGTCATAAATAAGCGATTTATTCAAATAGACGTAGCTTGTATTTCATGTTTTTTTTTTTTTTGACGTTTTACCCTGGTGGTGGCGAAGAAAGGTCGCATGGCTACGTTTTCTATTACGCAATAGTATAACGGCGTGTCTCTAACCTAGATAATCTCTCGCATATAGAAAATTGAAGCCAGGGTACCGCTTGACAGAGACACGTGAGAATTATTATCGCTTGACCGAGTCCGGCATGTGTTGCAATGTGGCGACACCTGCCGACCGTTTGTGCACGTCCTACCTCAAGCTAGTGCGAATTAACCCTCTCCTTGTTCGTTACCGTTCAACCCTTTCGTCTTGTGAAAGACGTAGATGAACGGAGCGATATAGTGAAATAAATAAAATTTGTTCAGAGGCTATCTAACAATTTGATAATAATCTAAATTAGGTTGATAATTATGTGAACGAAGTTGTGCTAAATAAATGAATATATTTGAATTAAAAAATTAATTAATTCCAATAATAATATTCAACTGTAGTTTATCTTTTATTCTTTGATTAGTAATATTCAGACGAGGTATATGAATAGACATTGCATCTTACAGATTTTCGAATATTAGAATTGTTAAAAATTACACAATATGAAGTTAAGGAATTGACAAATGAGTAGAAAATGTACTAACTGAAGTAAAAGAATACGTACATACGTATTTACGCGTGATAGAATTATATACGTATATGATTATCTTCCAGGACTTAAATCACAAAGGGACTTTTACTAGAGGGGCAGGCGTGCACTGTTGTTTTTATCCCTTTATTTTTAATTCATTTCTTTTCTCCATTTTTCTTCTGAGATCCTTCTCCTCTTTCTCTGCTAGTCCAAGGACGAACTTCGCGATCGCACTCTGTTTTTACATCTCCTTCTCTCCTTGACGTTTCTGTTTTTACCTCTTTCTATATCAATAATGTTCCTTTTCTAACCTGCCTTTTCTAACCTGTCTTCTGTTGTTCTCCCGTCTCTTTTCCTGTTTTTATTCTTCCGGTGTTCTGCATTCTCTCTTTGTCTTCCTCCTTCTCCCTTTAACGTGTTTTCTTCTCTATTCTTCACTGTACTATTGCTTTATTACATTGGCCTGTGCATGCTATGCATCCCTCTCCTTCTTCCTTTCATTGTGTTTCGATTTGCATTACGATTGGATGGTGTTCTTCGGTGTCCTCGGTTGAATAATTTATGAAAAACGCGCTGCTTGTCTTTTTGAAAGAAGGAGTATACTTTTTTTTATTGTGCGATTTTTTCTATTTAATTTTTGAATACTCGTTTCAGGGTCGACTACATAGTTTTCATAAATGGAGTACCGTTTAAACTAACCTCGAATAGGATTTACATTGTACATCTCAACCTTGAATTACTTCAAGGTTATGTCTGTGCAGACGTTATCTAACCACAAACTGTAGCGATACCTAACCTAAAACTTTGAATTGAGTTCGTTTTCTTTTCTTTATTTACGATCGAATCGTATCACGAGTCAAATTTCCACTCGAGTTACTATGTAATATTATATAATAAATCAGTTTTTGCCAAAAGACATATCAAAAAGAGATTAGAGAGGCGAAGGCTTTTCAAAAATTTGAAAAAGTCTCTGTTACATTATAGAATCAATTTTTGGGTTAGCGTTGTTACGTGTCATCCCTTTGCTTCGAAAAAGTTCGCGAGTAAAATGTACGTATAGCATTTAAAAAATTCACATTTAGAAAATTTTATAATTTAAACGATCCAGGTTATCTATTTAAATCGAAGATGTATGAAACAATTTCGATCGTGTCTTCATTTCGTGAATGAATTTTACTCGAAATATTTTCGATAATTATTTTAGTGATTAATACATAACAATAATGGTAATTAATACATGATGCGAGTTATATACGAACTGCGTTGATAACAAACAGAATGCAAAATCCATGACGATCGTCGTATTTCATCAGGCTATCGTTCATATTCGTGACAATTAGATGGTATTGATTCAGAGCGTTCAACGCGAGCTAGGAAGATGGATAATTGATGGCCTTGCGCGAGATTATGCTCGTCCATCGGGTATCGTACGATTTCGTGTCCTCGGGGATGGGATTCCGCGAATTCCCTCGTTACAGGAAGTTACATGGCGAATCTTGAATTATATGGCAATTTCTTGCAATTTAAAGTTTCACTTAGAATTAATGACAAATAGTTAGTGCATACTTAGTGCAGATCTCTGAAACAATTAAAAAAAGAAAAGGAAAAAAACTCCACTTTTATTAATTGGCTTGTTTATCCGCAAATGGCCTTGTTTCGTCTAGCTATATTTTCTCTATCATCTGGCTAACTTTGATATTTGAACCTCGTCGAATGAGTCAATTAGCAAGTTCAGTTCTGCTACAAAGAATTGTTTTCTTTACTTACAGTTCGTACATGTATGTAAAATCGATCGAAATGAATTACGATCTTGTAGATTCAAACTACAGAATACACATAATACACATAATATGAAAAATGTAACAAAATATCCAAAGTATGTATATTTTGCACATAAAATAAATTTTTCAATTATATTCTCGAAAATATCAATTTACTCTAGAAAATCCATTATTTGTTCTATTTATTATCTATAACGTCATACATCTAGAGGTTGAGTATATCATAAGGAAAATGCAGTATATTAAAACCTACTTGTTCACGAATATTTTTGTTCCAATGTTCTTCATCGTCAAGCATTGAATGAATGAAACACAGTGTTAACTTTTTATAGCCAGCATTTTACTTACAAGGGGGGAAAAAATATTAATCGTAGCCATTTACTTTTATTGAAAATTCGCGAACTAATAATTTCTTACCATTTCATCAAGTCATTTTTGTAATGGTCTACTGATAAAATACAACAGCGAAGTAATAAACAGACGAAATGACGAAATTCTCGAAACGTGGATACGTAAATTTTCAGCAAGTTTTTTACATGGACGGTTCAGTTCGCCATCGATCAAAACCTGTGAGTTTGAAAATTCTGATCCTGGAACGCGTTCACGCGAAATTGTATCGAGCAGCTTGAACGAAGGCATCAATTTCTAAAGCGTTAGCTTCGCCAATTTATGGCGTAGCCGGTGCATTTAATTTCGAACGAACGTTGGCTAATGCACGGATCCGTTCTACGCTTTCATGTCAATTAACGAGATAGATTTTCAACGTGTGGGCGTAGTACGTGCATGCTCCTCCAGATAGTTCGGTCTCTCTCGCTTGTTGTATCAGGTCAGAACTAGAGATAGAATCGAATACATTACAATTAGATATTTCCAAGCGGGAGAGTTTCAGTGTTTCATGAGTATTTGGGAATGGAGCAATTGGAGACGGTACTTTCACGCAGACTCGATATTGTTGGATCGAGTATCTATC